GTGTGGAGGTGCGGGGAGGGGGGGAGCGGGGGACTGTTCAGAGGGACGCGGGAGACGCTGCACATGTTGGGAACCGCGCGTGCAGCACAGGCCGCGGGATCAGCCATGCAGCGCCGGCCCCTGCCACGCACGTGGCCCAGCCCCGCTCTGCAGCGCGCCGCACCGCGGCACTCGCCTACGAGTCAGACTCCCGGGGGCCGCAGGGGGCCGCGCCGCCGTCTAGGTGGCAATTTGCACGTCGCGGGAGCTCTCCCCCTCCCCCCATGCCAACCGCATCCCGTTGTGCCCGCGCGGCCCGCCGCCAGGCCGAGAAGCTGGAGTCAAAGTTTGGTGCGCTGTCGTCCAAGAGCCGCGCCACAGACCCAGAAGGGGGGGAGCCAAAGAGCCAGGCCTATTACGTCATCAAGGTGCGCACGCGTGTGTATGTGTACATGCAGTCACACAGCACACGCACATCAACGAAACAGCCCGCCCCGCCCTCCGGCGCCCGCCGCCGCCGCCGCCGTGGGCCGGGCTAGGGCGGGGACGTGCTGGCGGGCATGTGGGCGGGGTCGGCGCCGGCGCCACCGCGGGGACGCGGCGGCCGGGGCGGGCTCATTTTGACGCAGCGGCCTGGCTGTCGGCCGCGTGTTGCATATGTGCGCCACGGAATGGGTTCGTGCCAGCTGATTGTGCGTGTGTGTGTGTGTGTGTGTGCATGGGACGCATGGGCAGGCCGTCGTGCGGCGCGGGGCGGGAGGGGAAGGCCGGGCGCAGCCGGCCGTCAGCGACGCAGGACGCGGCTGGGAGCGCGGCGGGGGGCGCGGCCGAGGAACAGAACAGACCCTGGGTTGGTGCGGTGACACCACACACATTTCACCATACCCCCACCTTACACCCTTCCCCCCGTCAACATCAATCACAACACATCCCAAACTTTCCCTCCAACCCCCCCCCCTCTCCCACAACACCCCCGCCAGGCCGCCCAAGAGAGGGAGGAGCTGCAGCTGCAGGGCGACCAGCTGGACTCCCAGATCGCCAAGGCCGAGTCCGAGGTTGCGGCGCTGGAGGGCACCCTGGGCCAGCTGCAGGCCACCAACACCGCGTTCAGCGCCAGCCTGCGCGGCGGGGAGGACGACGCCGCGCGCGCCAAGGCGGCGGCGGTCAGGTGGGGGCGGCGCGCGCGCGCGGGCCGCGGGGCTGCTCGGCATGTTGTGTGGCCTCGGCCGTGGTGTGTCGCAGAGGCGCCTGCGCTTTGCCGCCCCCTAAATCTGCCGATTGACGGCGCTATTGCAGCATTCGCCACGCAAAGCCAGCGCGCGGTGCCGCGGCCGGCGCTGGCGCCGTCCCCTGCGCCCCCTGGTGATGGCGCTGCCTCCCGCAGCTGCCTGTTGGACCCCATTCCACGACATCTCATCCCGTCCTGCCCTGTTTCATCCCATCTCACCCCAATCCCATCTCACCCCAACCCTCACCACACCCCACC